GGCTCGCGTGATCAGACTATGCTTTTAAATTTTAAGTTCGCCGGCAACCGGCGCTAATTATAACCGCGTGTGTGAGTGGCATTGGTTTTTGAGCTCAGTAAGAGACTCGTTTTAGGATTTCTTTCCGCGTTAGTTTTTTCATATCACCGCTTGAGTAATGTTTCAGGTGATCATTTCTCAAGTAGGTTTTCTTTATAACTACCTATGAAGCCTTCAAACTTATAGGGTCTACTGCCATATTTGAAGTCAACGGAGTCCCTTCCTTCCCCCCCCCCCTTGCAGCCTTTTTTTTTTCAACGAAAAAAAAAATTAAATATGTAGTGATGAGAAAGAAAGATTTAACTCACACCAGTTGTCATGAATGATCCCTTGTTCCTATCTAAGGTTGCTGGTACATAACGAGGAGGGAAAGGGGAAGGGTGATTTAAGTGAGATTTATTTCCACCAGTCAAGCAGGATGGCTTACTCACGTGTCATTCTTTCTTTTTATCTAGCTCTCTCTATTTTCACAACTTGATCTTCATCAACGTAGTACGTTTTGATTCATTGATTTTCATTGTCATAATCATCATTATCATGGTAAACAATTCTTTCTACCAAAAAATCATAAATCGATTGGACAAAGGACTATCTAGAATTCTCATGCCGGTGTCCCTTCAACTAAAAGATCCCACTCCTAAAGAAGTCTCTTGTTATCAAGCTTTCCTAGCTACATGACATGGTTTACGTTTATAACATAACAGCAGATTTCCATAGGTTTCTTTTCATACTTGTCATACTCATATTGAGAACGAGTCATGGAGTTGGCAAATTCGCCGGAAAGTCTTAACTGCGTTGCATACATGAAATAAATTAGTAATTATTTCCTCTCTGTAGTTTGTGAGTTGCAAAAATCAATCTTTGTATTCTATCCGTTGCCATCACGATTACGTTGGTTGGTCAATTTTCTTACATCCAGTAACTGGGCTTAGAAATTCACAGGTACCCTAAAAAGATAGTTGCCTCGGAGAGCTTTAAGGTGGCCTGAAAAATTCAATTTGAAAAATATAGTTGGTCCTAAACTCATGCTGTGAGTGTTTGAAGAACTCTTTGCATGCATCAGACATGCATCAGACATGGCGTCTCAGACATTTCATGCGTCTCAGACATGGCGTCTCAGACATTTCATGCGTCTCAGACATGGCGTCTCAGACATTTCATGCGTCTCAGACATGGCGTCTCAGATATTTCATGCGTCTCAGACATGGCGTCTCAGACATGGCGCTTATGAAACATGAGGTTCCTCAGGGTAGTATACTCGGCCCCTTGTTTTTCGCAGTTTTCATTAATGACCTGCCAATTCATGTCAGCTCCCTTGAAATCGATCTTTACGCAGACAATACAACAAATCACATCGTCAGCAGATTGTGGCAGCACGGGAAGACTGCAGGAATCTGGGCATTGGTCAACAGGCTTCCACTCAACTAAAAAAAAGACCAAGGTCCTCACCGTGAAGGGAAAGCGACTCTCAACCAAACCAAACAATAACCCTGAGATTACTTGCAATGGCACTTTGTTAACTAACGTTGTGAGCTTTAAGCCACTAGGACTTGAGATTGATGGAGACCTATCTTTCTCTTAGCATATTACGACTGTTTGTAAGAAATGTACTCAGCCCATCGGCGTGTTAAAGAAAATTATTAATTATCTTCCCCTTAAACATAGATTACTTTATCACAATGATTTGATGAGGCCAGTAATTGATTATGCAAGTGTCCTCTGGACTAATTATGATAAGGAAAGCCCTGGACAGGTCCTGAAGCTCCAACAACGAGCACCATTAGTTCCCTTGTTTAATCGGCTGAAATGATTGCCTTTTAATAAAGACGCTTAAATATCTAAATTTATCTTTGCTTATAAGCGATTACAAGGTGACGTCCCTATTTATCTAAACAGTCTACTTAACAGTAACATCTAATCTACTCAACAGTAACATCCACAGTAGACAAACCAGATAATGTAACTTTAACCTAACCTCTCCAAGTTATAATCGCGAAACAGAAGGAGGTAGAACTTTCACCGTCACAACTTGCAAAGCATGGAACAGTTTATCTTTACCTGTAAGGCTAAGGGATTCAGTGAATTCTTTTAAAATAAGCAATGTGGAATGAAGTTTTTAAACCGACAGCAGAATCTTGAGTCACTTTCTTATTTAAGTTACTTGATGAAGTGTGACATGATTATAATGCTATATTTTAACTTTTAAAAAGTTCAGTAGATTCTAAAGTATCTGTATTCTTTAGCTTTTTTTTAGCTCGTATTTTTATAGCTTAGTATACTAATTTATTATTTTATTATTTATTTTACTTATTATTCAGAGGGCCACAAGTTTTTTTAGCTCAGGCTCATTTCGTGTTAACCCTGACGAAATAGTGTTTACTTACTTACTTACTTACTATCAGAAAATCAGCGATTACAATTTTTCTCTGAGGAAAGCGACCAAATAGCTCCTATTGCCGATTAAAACAAGGGACGGGCTCAATTTAGAGGATCCGATATTTTTCAGTCCTAGAATATGTATTGATTTTACGGAAAATTGACCCGTAACGTCAGTAGTTCTAATTCCCTTAGAACAAAAACATGGAAGATAAACCAAGTTTTATTGATTTTATGTGATTTTTTTTCACGGATCTCTGCGCTTTGGAAACGGCCCACTTAATGAAATGGTTCGGGCTTTGATTCATGGATTAAACCGATTTAAAAAGAACTGAGTTCAATTGCAAAACACTTGACCAGAATAAATGACCAAACTGAGCTATGAGCAGCTCTCAAAGGGACAGGTGCTCATGACTGATCAGTCACGGAAAAAAAAAGTATTCTTGTCGAGCAAAGCTTGTTTGAAATAACGAGATACAAAACGTTTTAATGATATTTAACTAAAGTCTTCTATTTTTAACAGGAAAAGAGAATTCTCATTCAGATGTTCCATTATGTCATTAAAGGTTTGTGATTAGGAGGAGGACTCTTTCGTTTGAGTTGTCTTTACTGTTCTTTCTGTTGACTTTCGAGTTGTCCAGTTGTCTCACCGTTTCGTTCCATCCTGTTTTTTTCTGATTTCAAACCAATAGCAGGTGAATTTTCCAAGTGAAGACAGGGCAGGCAATGGAAGGTGCGGCGAAAGGCTCGACGAAAGTCTTCATTTCTTAAGTAATATATCAATGGGTTGATCGCTGATGATGTAAAAGCGATTGCATCAACCCAAGGCCATACAACATAGAATAATTTACGAATTTTACTCTCGTCTTTGGTTAGGATGTAGTGACAGTCAACTATGATCAGAACTAAACTGGGCATCCACGTGAATATGCAAGCACCCAAAACAAAACCGATTGTTTTTATAGCTTTCAAATTTTGCACAGCAAGAACTCTAATATTTTTGTCGCAGTTTCGAGGACTTTCCTGAGCGATAATTCGTGTGAATTGTTTTCTGGCAGCCTTGAAAATACTAACATAGCAAAAAGAGACAACTAATAATGATATAACATAGATAATGCATGTTAAAGACAAAAACATCTCTTTTTTTGAACCGTCTAGAAAGAATGTTGAAAAGGAAAGAACTGATGAACTTAACCAAACTAAAATGATAACCGCGTAACAACTTTTCACGGTTACAAAATCCTGATAACGGAAAGGAAACCGGATCGCAATAAACCGGTCGACAGACACACAGCAAATGTTAAAAGTAGTGGTGGCGGTTGTGTGAATCCACAACACTTGTATAACTTCCAACAACATGGTGTGAAGAGGTGGCTGGATCCAACATCTGCTAGCGAGCCACACAGGGTCTACAAAAAACCCGACAGAAAAGTCTGCAACAGAAAGTGAAGCTAAATAGCGGTTGGAAATTGTCCGTAAAAACTCGTTTTTGTAGAACAGCCACAACACGACTGCGTTTCCAGTTACAGCTACAAAACTTGACAAGGAAAACCACGCTGTGAGAAAGATGGAGGCTGTAATGCTGAGATGTTCGTCCGAATTCCTTTCATTCATGGTAAGATGGTGCAAAGCTACAGCTAGAGAAAAGAAAGTAAACTTAGGAATGCTTAAAATGCTTAGAACTGAACTGTTTTTTCATGAATCATCATATTCCTCTAATACAAATATATGGCTTTTTAATGACCGTCATGCACGTCGTGTTAATCTTAAGTCTAAAATTTTTAACTCTCTGAAAACGGTGAACGGTGAGAGTTGGATACAACAATGCCTCTCTAGAAAATGTTGCGAAATTCTTACTTGCATCTCACTCTTCCTTTGCCTTTTATCAACGATAAAAAAGAAACTCACGATCAAAATGATTTCGTATATATTCAAACGTCTGACAATAACTAACAACAAAGTCTCCTCTAAGATGCAGCTGCTCCGGTGACAGGAGGTTCTTTCAGAAAGTTCCTAATCCGGATATTCAAATTATCAAATGCTCCTGGGCATTTTCAAAAGTGAACAGATTCATGGCTCACCTGACAACGACTTGATTTCTAGAGAGCAAAATGAAGAAGATAACCATCATCTCTTTCTATTCCAAAGCCCTCCCCTGCCGCGCATGCTGCAAGGTGGCAGAGTCAGTTTTTGGCAACCTCAAGTGCAACAGTTTTAAAAATTACAAGGCTAAAAGTTATTCAATCTCAAACATAGAGATTGTCGCCAGAAGCCTCTTTTTCAGCGAGATGATCTAAAATGATAAAAAGGAACGCACAGGTAAATGACTAGACAGTTTATCACACAAGAAATAAATTAAATTTGATCAACGGAAGAATGAATAACCAATCAATAAGTGACATAAATACATAAATTAAACGGGCAAGGTACAACCATCTTATTTTAATTCTCTTGTAATCAAAAATATTTGGGTCTGGTTTACGTTTGTGGTAGAAAATTTTTAATAGAGTGCTTTCATATGCTAATATCCCTAGGTTTCTTTTATCTTTCATGTGCAGACTGACAGCATAGGGTCTGAAAGTTCAAAGGAAGTCTTCATTGTCTTGCAAATACGAAACTAATGACTAATTCTTACCTTTCTATTTTATGAGCAGCAAAAAGTGTTTTACAAACGTTTTTCTATTGCATTGATTGGTCAATACTCACTCGTCCAGTACCGTGGCCTGGCTATTCCCATGCGCTACAAGCAGACATTTGCCTCGGGGAACTTTTAGGTGGCCTGCAACTTGGAATTTGAATAATGAAGCTGTTCCTCAAGTCATGCTGTGATTGTCTGAGGAGCTCTTTAATTCATGCGGAAAAATTTGTGATAAACACGGATTTCTTATCATGCATCACAGAAAATTAGCGATACAATTCTACTCTGAGAGAAGCGACCACTCAGTCAAACTAGGAACGGGCTCAGAGGACCTGAAGTTTTTCAGTCCTAAAATATTAATAGATTTTATGACAAGTTGACCTGTAGCTTGTCACCTCCTAAGGCTGGATGGACAAAAACTGTCATGTGTTCCTAAAAGCTCCCTGCAGAACCTCAAATAAAAGCAAAACATGGAAATCAAATATGCCGTCTTAGTAAATATGATATAGACTTGATATGCACATTAGCATAGAACAACATAACTGCCAGCAATCTTCAGGAGAAATTAATAGAGGAAAATAATTCACACAATTTATCAATTTTTTAAATGTTTCCACCAAGTTGGTAGTTTCTAGTTGTTTCTGGGAAGCAACCGAGTCGAAAGAGTTTCAGAAGACAAGCTCTACTTATAAAAACTATTTGTTAAATGCGGAAATTGGCAGATGATTATTTCGCGCTTTGAGGACGTCCCTGCTTGATAACTATCTGTTTGCAAAATTCGTATTGTTTTATTCAAATTCCTCATATCTTTGATTACATATACGAAACTCATGCTTTGTTATTATATAGGTGAAAAGGGAAAAGTTTAAAGTCATATCATTACTTTTAATTTGTTTTGAATTTTAATGCGAAGAACTCATCGACATAGCCGACGGTCACTCTGAAGTATCTACCACGGTTTACCAGACTAACTAGTTATAAGGCCTTGAAGAAAATTTCTTCTATCGAGTTGTATTCAGCCTCCACAGTC